GGACATGTCTTTTGGCCCCTAGAAAAGCTGGGGGAGGACACTGAGGCCTCAGGGGTCTTGCTGGGGGTGGCAGGCAGGGATGGGTGAGCTCGGCCCACGCTGGGCCTTGGGGCTGTTTCCTGGGATCTTTGTTGGCAGGTCTGAGCGCCTTTAGTAGGAGCTGTGCATGGACTCAGAGCAGGGAGATAGAGGCAGAGCCACAGGGAGTGAGGGGGACACAGACTCCCCTGCCCGCCTTGCCTGTGCCTCAGTTTCCAGTCTGGGAAGGTGGCACAGCACCCCACCCCCATTTTGGGTGAGACTCCTAATTAGTGGCTTTTGCTATTAGCATCTAATGACTTGACAGTCGCCCGATTGGAGATGATTAGCTGTGGGCTGGGTGTTGCTGGGGAAGGGGTGGTGGGTGGGTCGGTGGCGGGTAAGGGTCACCTGGGCTTTGGGGGGGGCTGCCTGCAGGGTGGACGTTGGCAGGGGGCCGGTAGGGTGAGCAGCTGGGGGTGAAGGTGTGGCGGGGCGGGGGCGGGGAGCCCTCTGTCTGGGAACCATCCCAAGTCAGTCATTCACTCCTTAGTGAGAATTTCTATCTCTATCTGCGAGCATTTGCATATCAGGCTTCGGTGCTAACGGAGGAAATGAAGGCTTTGTCTTGCTCTCACCAGACGCCGTTTGGGGTGGGGGCCCACTCCCCTGCATAAGCGTCACCCTGAGCAGGGGCGAGGCGCCAATTTGGAACGGGAATGCCAACACAGCAAGGCCGTCACTATTTTAGAGCAGGGAAGGGAGAAAAATGGTCCATTTAGGCGGCCAGAGCTCAGGCGTGTGTGGGGGTGTAGGCGTCTCCTGGGGACCCGCCTGTCTGGGGTCCTCACTCCCCCACCTGGGGGCAGCTTTCTGCTCCCCATGACTCTAGCACCTCAAAGACCTCGAGTCTTTGGCCTTTGTTTGATTAGCAAACATATATCGAGCACCACGGTATACAGGGCCTGTGCGGGCTACAGGGAAAAGGGCAGAGAAGGAGGCCAACCCCCAGGATCCAAGGAAGGCAGACAATGGGCTGCTTAAAGGTATAAATATGATGATGTCCAAACGAGATGAGTTGGGAAAAGTAGGGAAAAATGTGCCAGGCAGAGGGAACAGCATGTGCAAAGGCCCTGGGGTGGGGGCTTCCCTGGTGGCGCAGTGGTTAGGAATCCACCTGCCAATGCAGGGGACCCGGGTTCGAGCCCTGGTCCGGGAAGATCCCACATGCTGTGGAGCAGCTAAGCCCGTGCTCCGCAACTACTGAGCCTGCACTCTAGAGCCCGCGAGCCATAACTACTGAGCCCAGGCACCACAACTACTGTAGCCCGCGCGCCTAGAACCCGTGCTCTGCAACTGCAACAAGAGAAGCCCACGCATGGCAACAAAGAGTAGCCCCCGCCCGCCACAACTAGAGAAAGCCCGCGCACAGCAACGAAGACCCAACGCAGCCGGAAAGAAAAGGCCCTGGGGTGGGACCAGGGGCAACCCGGAGGCTGGTGTGCCTGGAAGGGAGTGAGCTAGGGGAGCCAGAGGGCGATGAGGTTGGGTATGGATGAGGACCACACGGGGCCTCGTGGGCCTGGGAGAACTGTGGATTTTGTTGTGTGTGTGGGGAGCCAATGGAGGGCTTTGAGACAGTGGGTCACGGGGTCTGATATACACTCAGAAAAGTGAGCCCTGGGTTTTGGGAGGCCAGGAGTCTGGCCGCCCTAGTGGGGCCCAGGCGTCCAGCCTCTGAGGCAGCAAAGCAGCTTGTCTCTGATGTTCTTCAGAAAGTGAGCTGGGGGGACCTGATGGTGCAGGTGTCACGGGGGGAGGGAGGCAAGCCTGATGGGACAGGCAGGAGGAAAGGGGAGCCCACCTTCTGGAGTCCGTTCTCTCCAGAAAGACCATGCGTGGAGTCACGTTCTCTTTCAGGTTGAGTATACACCCCTCGGCATCGTGCCAGGGACAAAAGGGAACACTGAGGGCCGGAGGCCAGGACCAGGACTCCCCCCACGGCCTGTGGTTCTGCGTCACAGCCTCCCCTGCAGGGCCCACCTGGGTGAGGCTGGGTCCCTGGGCGGCTGCTGGGCCACAGCTGCCATCGATCGGCTGATCAATGGGGCTTTCAGTGGGGCCGGCAAAGAGCGAAAATGACTTTTCAAAAAGCCTGGAGCAGCTTCTGCATCGATTGTGCCCAAGGGGCCGGAGGATGCGGCTGGTCAATGAGACGCCCGTGCCTGGTCAGCCGTGGAGCTGCCTGAGGGACGGGCAGGGTCCCAGCCCGACCCAGGGCCGGCCCGCATGCATCTATGCAGTGTCTGCTGTGTACAGAGCTAGAGTTCTCCCATCAGCCTCGAGGACCATCCCCACGGCACAGAGTTGGAATCTGAGGCTTTGAGAAGAGGAGCTGAGACCCAGCTGGGTTCCAACCTGTGACTGAACCACACTTGAGGTTCCTTGGCCCCCAACTGACCCCCGAGGCCAGACACATTTATTCTGCAAACGCCTTCTCACCTCTGCGAGAGGGAGTGGCCTCCCCGTCCCTGGACGAACCCAGTGGAGCAGGGAAGGGGCTGGAGGTGAATCCACTCCCCCTGCTCCCCATGCTGAAATTCTGCGGCCCTTGACCTCAGCCACAGACGTGAATCATCATGCTGGGTCCCTGCTGACGGCGGGGGAGACTCAGGCACCGTGAGCTGGTCCCCTGTCTCCGTCATTCCAGTTCTGAGTTCCCAGGACCCCTCGCCTCCACCTGGCACAGTCTCACGGGTGGCGGGGGGCCAGCCGATGCCATCTGATAATCCAGCCGCCCCCTCAGGTGCCAGCTGTGGGAATTAGCGCACCCGGCGTGGGGGCTGCCTGGCTCCCTCCCATGGGCCGGGGCGGCTGGCACGGCGGGCACGGAGGCAGCGGCGTGGCTGGGATCCTAGCAGCCCTCCCTGCCTCCGACCCACACTGGGCCTCAGTTTACTGGCCGATACAGGGAGTAGAGGAGGCTGGGGGAGCCCGCCCCCCAACCCTCTGATGCTCAGGCCTTTTATGTGCTAATAAGCCCCTCTCGGGAGGCCCCCTTGTCCCCCCTCGATCCAGGCCACGTTTACATGACAGGGGCCTGGGGCACCGCGTCCAGGAGGTCTAGGGGCTCCTGGCGCTGTAGCCCGAGGCGGTGATGGAAGGGGAGCTGCTGGTCCCTCGCTCAGCTGACCTCCATCCTTGACAGATGAGCCTGGGTCAGGGGCCTCCCCCCAGAGAAAGGGGTGCAGGTTGCATGACAGTGTGGGGAGACCTCCAGAGCAAAGCCTGGGAGGCAGGGCTTGGGGGTGGAGGTGTCAGGGGTGGGGAAGCTGGTGGGGTGACCAGGGAGTTGGAGGCTCTGGAAGAAGAAGGAAGGATGTCACACAGGATGGAAGGGGTGGAGCTGGGGGTCTTGAACCCAGGGCACCCCTGAGCTGGACTGAGCGAAGGAGGGCCTGAGCATCCTTTATGCCAAACCCTGCCCCCTCTGGGGAAACTGAGGCTAGAGGAGGGGCAGGGTTTGCCCCAAAGGGGCCGGAAACCCTTGGCCATTGCCCCCAACCCCCTCGGCCTTTTTTTTTTTTTTTTTCGGTACGCGGGACTCTCACTGTTGTGGCCTCTCCTGTTGCGGGGCACAGGCTCCGGACGCGCAGGCTCTCACGGGCCCAGGCGCTCGGCAGCATGTGGGATCTTCCTGGACCGGGGCACGAACCTGTGTCTCCTGCATCGGCAGGCGGACTCTCAACCACTGCGCCACCAGGGAAGCCCCTTTTTTTTTTTAAACATCTTTATTGGAGTATATGGTGTGTTAGTTTCTGCTTTATAACAAAGTGAATCAGCTATACATATACATATATCCCCATATCCCCTCCCTCTTGCGTCTCCCTCCCACCCTCCCTATCCCACCCCTCTAGGTGGTCACAAAGCACCGAGCTGATCTCCCTGTGCTATGCAGCCGCTTTCCACTAGCTATCTGTTTTACATTTGGTAGTGTATATAAGTCCATGCCACTCTCTCACTTCGTCCCAGGTTACCCTTCCCCCTCCCTGTGTCCTCAAGTCCATTCTCTATGTCTGCGTTTTTATTCCTGTCCTGGCCCTAGGTTATTCAGAACCATTTTTTTTTTTAGATTCCATATATATGTGTTAGCATACGGTATTTATTTTTCTCTTTCTGACTTATTTCACTCTGTATGACAGACTCCCGGTCCATCCACCTCACTACAAATAACTCAATTTCATTGTTTTTTATGGCTGAGTAATATTGAAACCTTTCTAGTAACGAACTATAGAAATGATTCCTGAAAGTATAGTCTTGCCCTCGGCCTTCTTGGCAGGCAAATCTGCAAAGGAAAGCTGAGGAGGCTGCATCTGGGGATGGTGTGGGGGGCTGCCTGGAGGAGGGGGCATCGAAGTCAAGTAGTAAGGTTTTTGGAGAGGGGCTTCCTGGTGGGGGGGCGGACATCTTGTGCCAGGCCTGTTGTGGCTGAGGGGCCCAGATGTGGATTCTGCAGGGGGTGGAGAGACTGGGGGGGCTCCGAGTCACGTGGCGCCTGCTCGTTTTGCATGTGGTTACCCAGAATGCCTGGCGGCAGACCCTCTTCCCCAGCACCCACCTCGTGGGCTCAGCGCTAGTCCCAGTCTCAAGGAGCCTGCTGTGGCCTTGGTGGGGCAGGGTTGTGCCAGGCAGGGGACCGTGGGCTCGGACCCTGGCACCTGTCTGTGGGTAGGGTGCCCGCCCATCGGTCCCCTAACCCCTCCCCCTTCCCCATCTCTGACCTACCCCTTTCTACCTGCACTGACCCATCCCCACCCGCCTTCGTGCTTCCTGTCCCCTACCCCGTCCCCTCCCACGCGCTGACCGCTGACCCCGCTCCATTTACCCCATCCCTGACCCTCCCCTTCTCCCTTGCACTGATCCATCATCCGCATCTCGGGCCCCGCCCCTACCCCCGCGCTGACCGCCGGCCCCGCCCCCAGGTTCCACGCGGGCGCGGCGGACGACGGCGGCGGCTACACGGTGGAGGTGAGCATCAACGACTACCTGGACATCTACTGCCCGCACTACGGGGCGCCACTGCCGCCGGCCGAGCGCATGGAGCACTACGTGCTGTACATGGTCAACGGCGAGGGCCACGCCTCCTGCGACCACCGGCAGCGCGGCTTCAAGCGCTGGGAGTGTAACCGGCCCGCGGCGCCCGGGGGGCCGCTCAAGTTCTCGGAGAAGTTCCAGCTCTTCACGCCCTTCTCGCTGGGCTTCGAGTTCCGCCCGGGCCATGAGTACTACTACATCTGTGAGTGGGGGCGGGGCAGGGGCGCGGGGGGTGGGGGTCCCTCCTCCGCGCTGGCCTCTGTCTCCGGGCGGACGCTCCGGTGGTCTCGCCCTCCTCCCCGCAAGCCCCCCTGTGACCTCGGCCTCTGGATAAGCCTCTGGGCCTCTGGACTGGGACCATGTGGTCAGCCTGTCCCACACTGAGACCAGGGGTGCCGTCCCCCCATTGCAGGAGGTGGGAAACTGAGGCCTGTGGAATCTTGAGGGAGGGGGTGAGGGCGACCAACCCTGGACATGGCAGGGGTCTCCCGGGCCCACCCCCCCATCTCCCAGCGACCCACCCGCGCCCAGTTTCCCCGAGGAGCTTTTCACTGTCGGCTGGTGGCAGCCTTGGGACACTGCGCATGCGTGCCCCGCTGTGAGCCTTGCGGGGGGGCCGGCTAGGCTGCCCCCACCTGTCCTGGGCATCAGGGGTTCCCAAGGGGCCCCTTTTTCCTTCCCATCAAGTGCCAAGGGCAGGGTCTGGGGAGGCGGCAGAGTCGGGGCTGGGTTCAAGTTCCCGTTCAGTGGGGCCTTGGCAGACTGTAGTCTGAGAACCTAAACCAGGAACACTGGGGTCCAGGCATCGCCGCTGCCGAGAGGGGGTATCAGGGAGCCCACCTTGGCGTCGGACTCATGCCTCTCCCGAGGCAGTGAGACTTCAACGGATTGTGGGGTCCCATTTCTCAGCGTCCTGGGGGCTGATGGGGAGCAGGTGGGAAGGGGGGTCTGCCCCCAGGGCTTTGGAGAGGAACCCAGCGCCTCACCACCCCGGTTCCTGCTGAGTCAAATTAAACTCTACAAGGCTCCCATTTCCTCCTTTCTCTGCTCTATTTGGATTTTTTCTTTTTAATTCAGGGAAGAAGGGGTGGGGGAGGGGAAGAAGGTGCTTAAATTAAGTCTCCGTAATATAAGAAAAATTACATTTTTCTTTCCGAGACGGGAGTTTCATAAAGATAATTATTGTAATTATTCGTCCTATCTCTGTGATGAATGTTACTTTTATTACGTGCTTTTTATCTTCATCTCCCAGCACGAGGGGCTTCTGGGGGGCGGGCAGAGGTGATGGCCGCAGAGAGGACCGGCGGAGAGCACAGGCGGGGGCAGGCCCAGCCGCAGCCGTGTGGGTGCCCGTGCCTGTTCACGTGTGTGAGCCCCGCCACCCGCAGGGCCTCAGGCCTCCCTCCCTGCCCCTGTCCTGGTCCCTGAGCTCCTCCCTCCTGACTCATGGCTGATGCTCTGGTACCTCCCCTGCCCGCCAAGTGGGCCAAGAAGCTGGGAGCCCTATGGTGGAATTTTAGGTGTGAGGACCCAATGCACTTCGGCCTGCACATGACTTGGTGGTGTGGGTCGCTCTCCAGGTGAGGCCGGAGGCTGCCTCCTTCCCAGGGGTAACTGGGTTTCTGGCGTCACCCAGATGGAAAGAATGATTTCCAAAGCACCTTCCATGGGCCAGATGAGGTCCACATAGGGGGTGACTTGCCGACAGGCACCCTGAGAGCAGGGATTTGATCCCTGGTCAATCATTTAGTTACACTGATTTTTTTTTTTTGCTGTTTGATTTTTGTTTTGTTTTGTTTTTGGCCGTGCTGCACGGCATGCGGGATCTTAGTTCCCCGACCAAGGATGGAAACCGTGCCCCTGGCAGTGAAAGCTCAGTCCTAACCACTGGACTGCCAGGGAATTCCCTTTTTTTGCTGATTGGAAACACACCTATTTTTATTCATCACCTTTGAACTTTGCCCTGTGATGCCCTGGGGTGAGATGGAGCCCTGGGGTGACATTGACACCTCACCTGACCCCCGTCTCTGGGGTTAGGATTCAGCAAAGTGAGAGGTAGGGGAAGAGTGCAAGAGGACTTCTGGGAAATCATGGGCATTGTGTCTGGGGCTTTGATGTATGATGAGGAGTTTTATGGGTGGATTCCCCAACCTGGGGTCAGGGTTGGGTTACGGGTGTGGGGAAGGGCCTACAGCCCCAAGAGGCCTCAGGCACCAAGAGCCTCCTGCCCTACTAACCCCCAACCCCTCTCTTCCAGCTGCCACGCCCCCCAATGCTGTGGACCGACCCTGCCTGCGGCTGAAGGTTTACGTGCGACCGACCAGTAAGTTCTTGGTGGGGGTTCATGTAAGGTCCTTAACTCACAGAACCCAGTGAGTCATCAGCGGAGTTAGGAGGCGGTCATGGCATAGCCTGGGGAGTCCCACAACCTCAGCGATGGCTGGGACAGGCCCTGCCTGAGCCTCTGTTTTTCCATCTGCAAATGGGGCCATTTCAGACCTTCAAGAATGAGGGTTGAAGTCCATGGCTGGGCTTCACTGAGGCCGAAGCCCCCTTCACCCAGTGAGCGGGTATCATGGAAGTTCTCTGAGATGGACCAACGGGTTCGTGTTCTGAGCTCCTGAAACATAGGGAAGGGGCGTCCTACAGCCTCGTCACTTCACCTGGAGCCTTCTGTTTGCCATGCTCTGCATTGGAGGCACAGCCTCAGCCAAGGTGGACAGAAATCTCTGTGCCCTTGGAGATGCAGTGAAATGGAGATTTTTGTTTTTTGTTTTTTTTTTGGCTGCTCAGTGCATATGGGATCTTAGCTCCCTGACCAAGGGTGGAACCCGTGCCCCCTGCATTGGGAGTGTGGAGTCTTAACCACTGGACCGCCAGGGAAGTCCCGTAATGGAGATGTTTAACAATGTCAGGTTGTGGTGAGGTCTAGGAAGCAGGGTGGGGGGTGGGAGGCCTGCCACTGACCCCCCTGTCTCCCTGTCCCCCCAGATGAGACCCTGTATGAGGCCCCCGAGCCCATCTTCACCAGCAATAACTCATGCAGCGGCCTGCGCAGCTGCCAGCTCTTCCTCAGCACCGTCCCTGTGCTGTGGACCCTCCTGGGCTCCTAGTGCCCAATGGGACGTTGGCCCCGCCCTGATGGCCCACCTCCGAGACCAAATAGAGACGCCGCTTCTCCCACGACTGGTGCTGCTTCGCCGGGCAGGGGGCTGTCCACCCGCCCCAGGGCTGGAGGGGGGTGAGGGCAGCCGAGGTCCCTCCACCCCGTGCCAGAGGGGCCGGGTGTCTGCTCAGCTGGCCATGCTGTCTTGTCCGGGGGACCTGCTGAACCCTGGGATCTCTTGGTGACGTTGGTTTTTGTTTTTGCTTTTTAAGTGTATTTTTCATGGTTGCATCAGAAAGACTTGAGTTTTTAATTTAATTTATTCCTTGCTGTCACCTGTGACTTTGGGAAGGAAACAGAATAGACAGATGGGGCAGGGGTCCCTGGCCCCCTTGAGGGGAGGGGGATTGGGGCACCCCTGGCCTGGTCACTCCATTTGTTGGGTCCTGGGTGGAGGCAACCATGGAATGGAACCCCAGGTGCCATGGGACAGGCTGGCCTGAGGCAGAAGGGGTGGGTGGTGAGTCCCCCCGATTCTGGTCCGGGGCCCTCAGACCCCTGTTCTGCCAGCTCTACCCTCCTCCCTCCTGGTGATTGTCTCCTAGAGCAGAAAACCACGGGGTTTCACCAGCAGCCACCATGGAGCCCCGGCACCCTCAAAATCATAGCATTACAACGTCTTAGAGATGACGTAGGCCCCACCTGTCCCCCCAGCCTCACACAGTCGCCCCCGAGACCGAGAAGATGTTATATTTCTGTAAATAGAGCCAGCAAGTATATACTGTGATTTATTTTTACTGTATTCCTGAGGATGGACTGGAATGTTTCTTTTTCTCTCACCCCTTCATGGGGGGGCGCTTTTATTTTGATGGGGGGGTTGGGGTAGACTTTTTAGCGTAGAAGTCGCACTTCAAAATAAGCTCCTTTGTCTGTGAGACCCCCTTCCCTCTACTGTATGACTAATAATGTTTGTAAGAAAAGGGAAAACAGGACAAAACAAAACGGGGGGGGAGGGGAACATCACCACCAAAAAAGAGAAACCCCCTCCCCAAAACACTCTAATGAAGTAAACAGCGCATTTATACAGATTTCATATTTCTACCCGCCTTTCCTGATCTGTGTTTTATATATATTATATATAAATATATATGGCGTGTGGCCGCCGGGAGATGGCTCGGGCACGCCAGTGGGGGACTTTTGTAGGGGTCGTGGGCGTGCGGCATTGCCACGCCTGGAGCTGGCGACGGGCCCCGCCCCCCCATCACAATCAACTTTGGATTCTGTATTTTTTTATAATAAAATAAGCGTAAGCATCCAGGCTGCGTGTCTGTGTTGGGGCTGCAGGTCGGGTCTGGAATCTGCTGGGGAGGGGTGTCTTTAAGGAATGTCTGGAGACCCCAGGGCCGGTTGTGATCCTTTGGTTTTGTGTATCGTTGGGGTGCCTGGCCCCGAACTGAGCATCTTATGGGGTGCTGTGCCCTTCATACCACCCCTAGGAGAGGGGAACAAGCCCCTCTCCCCTGGGGCAGCTGGGAGGATGGAGGGAAGACACGGGGCTGGCTTTGAATACACAGCAGGGGCTTGTTAAGTGTCACCCGATGCACCTGAGCAGGTGGGAATCCCTGGACCCCAGGGCCAGTCAAGACCTCCTGTACCCTTGTCCTCACTTGGGGGCGGTCCTTGGGTTCTATGACAGGTCTTTTAGGATCCAACCAAATTCGGTGCCATCTTGGTCGCCAAGCTCTGTGGAGGGGTGACTCAGCTTCTCCAACTGCTCCAGGCAAGGGTGGGGGTTTGTCATCTCGAATTCCCTCCTGGCTTTCCAAAAGACATGTGTCAGAGTCTTCTGGGATCCCAGGGGCCTTCACCCCAGCCTGGCCCTGGAGAGGCACAGAACAGGGCGGAGAGACTGGGGCCTCAGGGCTGCTCCTTGCCTCAGTGCCACCCGCAGGGACTGCGGTGTCCCGGGCACAATTAGCTGAGAGGGAAGGCTCTCAGCTAATTAATTCGGTCGTGCTGGGTCCAGCGACGGGGGCTGCCTCTTAATGAGGCCAGGAAGCGGCACAAAGACCCCTGTGTGCGCCCCGCCTGCCCTGCCCAGCAGCAGTGGGACGGAGGGTGGCCACTGCCGAGCACCACGGAGGGAGAGCCGAGGGATCCCCCCACTCTGTGGAGAGGACCCCGAGGCTCAGAGAGGGAGGAGGCCCCCCTATGTCCACCCCCCTGAGACCCCTCGCTCGAACACCCCAACTCGACCACGGGGACAGAGGAAACTGGAAGGCGAGGATTAAATGCAGGGGTCGTGGGGCAGAATCGTAGCAGCTAACTTTGATTTTGTTATTTAAAAAAATGTTATTGAGATATAGTTCACATACCACACAATCCATCCGTTTAAAGTACGATTCCACAATTTTTATCCATTCACAGGGTGTGCAACCATCACCACTATCTAATTCCAGAACATTCCATCACCCCAAAAAGAAGCCCCATCCCCCTCCCCACTGCCTGACAACTAGGAACCCACTCTCTGTACCTCTGGATCAGCCTGTTCTGGACGTTTCCCATCAATGGAATCACACACTGCGTGTCCTTCTGTGTCTGGCTTCTCTCACTGAGCATCGTGTTCTCAGGGTCCGCCCACATTGTAGGAGCGTCAGGGCTTCTGTCCTTTTCATGGCTGAGTGATGTTCCCGTGTGTGGAGGGATGACTTTCTGCCCATTCACTCTTTTATGGACATTTGGGTTTTTTCCTTTTAGCTATTCTGAGGACTTTTGAGACAAAATTTTAACACAAAAAGGTGACCTTGGATGGGTAAGTATAAAAATAGCTCTATTCCCACCGCGGGGCCTTTGCACATGCTGTTCCCCCTATCTGGTGTGCCCTTTCTGCAGACCACTGCTTGACTCTCTCCCCCAGCCCTTTCATAAGGGGTACATGTCCCCTCTAGACCTCCCTGGCCAAGTGGCCCTCACCCCATCCCCCTGCTGTTAAATCTCTGATTCTTCTTTTTTTTTCCACAATAATGTGTATTTATTTACCGGGCATTATTTACATCTAATTTACCACATGTATCTTTTTTTTTTTATTAGATCTTTATTGGAGTATAATTGCTTCACAATACTATGTTAGTTTCTGTTGTACAACAAAGCGAATCAGCCATATGCATACGTATGTCCCCACATGCCCTCCCTCTTGCCTCTCTCTCCCACCCTCCCTATCTCACCCCTCTAGGCGGTCACAAAGCACAGAGCTGATCTCCCTGTGCTGTGCGGCTGCTTCCCACCAGCCAAGTATTTTACACTCGGTAGTGTATATACGTCGATGCTTCTCTCACTTCGCCCCAGCTTCCCCCTCCCACCCCATGTCCTCAAGTCCATTTTCTATGTCTACCTCTTTATTCCTGCCCTGCAACTAGGTTCATCAGTACCATTTTTTAAAAAATTTAGATTCCACATATATGTGTAGCATACGGTATTTGTTTTTCTCTTTCTGACTTACTTCACTCTGTATGACAGACTCTAGGTCCATCCACCTCACTACAAATAACTCAATTTCGTTTCTTTTTATGGCTGAGTAATATTCCATTGTATATATGTGGCACATCTTCTTCATCCATGCATCTGTCGATGGACATTTAGGTTGGTTCCATGTCCTGGCTATTGTAAATAGAGCTGCAATGAACATTATGGTACACGTCAAAAACAGTGGTTAGATGCCACGAAGTAGGTGGCAATGCCTTAACCATATGCGTGTTGTCAGGCCCGAGGGCCTCTTCCATCCTGGTCGAGGGGAGTGCTAACCTTCTCTCCTTTCATACAACACAAATCTGATTCTTTACTTGTCCGTCTTCCCCACCGGCTGGGAGTCCCCAGAGTCCCACCGTCAGGAGTCTCCCCTGGGACTTGTCATCTGCCACATGCACAGACACACGTGCACACACGTGTGTGGAGGAACCCCATGGCCGCGCCCACCTGTGCGCACCCCTGTACCGACACATGCTTGCGTTTGGGGCCTGGATCTCTCAGGGGCCATGCTGTCCATCACTGGTCACCAGCCACGGCCTCGGGGGCCACCACCAAGGTGCAGAGTGGCCCCTCACTCCTGGGGCTGCACTGGGCACAGTGGGGTACCCCCAGGGCAGCCATCGGTAAAGGGGTCCTGTGCATACCCAGAGGATCCCCAAGGGCGGGGGGTCAGGGAGGTGGGAAGGGGGGGTCCTGAGGTTTCCCCCATATCCTGACGGTCGCTCTTGGGTGGAGCCAGGCCTCCCGGTCGGGGCCCCCTCAGATTCATGGCCACCTTGGCTTGGGGGCATCAATGCCCTCAGTCACAGGAGAGCACCCCACAGCCCTTCCCCTGTGGGCCCCTGAGCCCCTATCTAATCTATGCCGCTGTCTCAGGAGAAGCCCCAGGCCACACCCTGGATCCCCGACCACCCCCCACCGCCGTGACCGTGACGAGGGGGCTCACGCCTTGCCCTCTGGACTGATGGGGACCACCCTGGCTTTCAGGGGTCCGATCAAGTCCCTTGACCACAGTCACGCAGTGGGTCATGTCACTCGGAGGAAAGGCCACCATCCCGGGGGCTCTGGGGCTCACGTCCCCAGTCTAGGTGCTGCCGCCCCACCCCACCCCCACTTCCCATGTCAATGCCAGCGCCCCCCAGCAAACAGTGAGCACCTGCTGTGTGCAGCCAGGGGGCAGGGCCCTCCCTCTGCCTGTGGCATCAGGGCGAGGACAGTGGGGCCAGCCCCGGTGGGCCTTCCCCATATTTGGTGGGCTTATGGGTCACGGGAGGAGGCCACGGTAATGGGGAAGTGTGGACCAGGGTGCAGGTGGCCAGGCGGCCACTGACAGACAAATAAAAAGCCGGTTCACAGCCCGGGAGCCCCTGAGGAGCCATAAATCACATGCGATGACACACAAGTCGGAAATCAAGTGGCTGCAGCTGGGCTGGTGTGGCTGGTGTGGCTGAGACAGGTGGGGGCGGGGGGAGCCAGGAGCCCCTCCCACCTTCAGTTTCCTCCCCCCGGAGCTGCTGGCGGTGGTCCTTACTGGAACAACACTTGTGAGGATGATAAGGGCTGGGGCTGGGTGTGGACCTGGGACAGGGAGGGGCCTCAAATGCTGGGCACGGGGCAGGTGCAGGACACAGACGGACTGCTGGGCGATTGAGGCATTTCTTCGCCTGATCTTGATGGAGCCTGGGTGGGGAGGGGGGCAGGGGCAAAGGAGATGGGCGGGGGGGGCACGGGAGGCTTTGGGGCAGGACTGGAGGCCAGGGAGGAGAAGAGGACTCTGGGTGGGGAACTGCTGAGCCCGAGGACCCCGGCTTCCCTTCAGGGAGGTGTCCAAGAGGCCACTGACCCTTCTGTGCCTTCTCTGCTGGAGAAGAAAGCCCACCCCATCCATCCTCTCCACGCTTACCGGCTCACTTATGGGAGCCAGGAAACTTGGGGTGGAGGTGGGGGTGTCCGGGGCGGGACCCCTCCCCCCTCCCTCTGGGGCCGCCCACCTGACAGCCCCTCACCTGCCCCATTGATCCGGAAATGGAGGCTGAGGCCCGGAGGTGATCGATGGGCCCTAATGGACAATGCAATCCCTGGGGAAGGGGGGGGCAGCCGGTGATGGGGGAGGCCTGGGTTCCCCGACAGCAGCCAGGGTCGGGGCCGCCCTGCAAGCCCCTCCTCCAGGAAACACCAGGTTGTGTGGCCTCCCAGTGCAGGGAGGTGAGGGGGGTATTGTCTATGGCACCCCCGGATCCCCACACCCGCCGGGCCACTCTCCTCCGTGGCTTCCAGGATTTGTTTGCACCATCTACTGATCCCTCCCCGGGAATCTGAGGCAGGCCTCAGGGGAGTTGCCCCAGCCCTGGCGGGGTTCCTGCGGGGAGGAAGAGGCGTAGAGATGTGGTGCTGGACCCCTGGGGGCCCTCGGGCCGGGCTGGGATAGGCCAGAGGACCAGCTGCTTGTCTCACACCGGTTTCCAGCTCTAAGTGCTTAAAAGCCTCCTGCGGCCTCTGGGACCCGCAGGCAGGCGGGCAGGCGGGGGAAGGGCAGCAGGGGCTGAGGCTGGGGGTGCCCCCACCGGAAAAGTCCTAGCCCCTGAGACAGGCGGTGCATCCTGGCACGTCTGCCCCCTCCTCCACCCCCACCCCCTCACCGCCCCCCCCCCGCCCCCCGCCGGCCCGCCCAACACCACAGAGGCCGAGGTCCTGGACCCCGCACTCCTTCCCCTGCTCAAATCCCTGCTTGGCCCCCAGGTACCCAGGACAAGGCCCCACCCCTCCCGTGAGGCCCTGCCCACTGCACTC